GTTAGGCACAGGCACGGTGGGTCCAGCACTGAACCAGACACCAGATACTGACAACTTCAACTCCACGGAACCGTCGGGCAGCGGAAGCGGGTTTGAAGTCAGGCAAGTGGTTTTAAGATTAGGACCGAAAAAGCAAGGCTAGAAACAAACCAATAAAAAACCAGAATTAGTCCCAGTGTTAGACCTGGCTGGGAACAGAAATCAGAAGGAGGAGGGAAAATGGTTAGCGAATAAGCAGAAATTCCAGGAGTATGGCTACTGTCCAAACAGGGTAAAATTGCCAAAATGTGGGCACGGTGTGTTTGGGGTACCTGACCACTGGCCTTGTTTCCTTAGCAGTGACCGAGGTCTGGCAGGAAGTGGCAGCGCTGCCCAGTAGGTCAGCGTGAGTGGCTTGAGCCCTGGCCACGCTGCCCTGGGGTTTTGGATTTGTGGCCCCCTCGTCTGTAAGGTGGACTGTTCTGTGTACCCGTAACCTGAGGTGTACCTTAAAAACACTGAGATTGGTGCCTGCTGCATTACAAGCACCCAGGAAAAGAATATCTTGCCATTCTATTTTGCTTTTCAATTCCCAGAGTTTTTTTTTTTTTTTTACCTGGTTTTATTTGAGGCGCAACTATAATAGTTAATTTGAAGTCTTATGACAAGCCTGACATATAGGCACTGTTCTCCACATTCAACAGGCGGTGGGTCATTATTCTCTACAGTCGGCAGGTTAAAAACGAGGAGCTGGTGCAGTGGCATCATAGGCTAAGCCTCCATCTGCAGGGCTGGCATCCCATATGGGCACTGGTTGGTGTTCCGGCTGCTCCACTTTCCATCCAACTCTATGCTTTGGGGCCTGGGAAAGCAGTCAAGGATGGCTCAAGTTCTTAGGTCCCTGTACTCACATGGGAGACCCTGAAGAAACTTCTGGCTCCTGGGTTCCAATTAGCTCTGCTCCTGCTATTGCGGCCATTTGGGGAGTGAACCAGTTAGTGGAAGATCTGTCTCTTCTCTTTCTGTAAATCTGCCTTAAAAATAAAAGGTTTTTTTTTTTAAGGGAAATAATTGATTAAAATTGAGAAAGGAACTAGGCTACTGCACTGGGCCCTCCCATTTTTTATAGAAGTCATTTAGCTAGCCAGCTGGTGACACAAGCGTATCTGCTGACGTATATTTACTCCAAACTCCTCACCTTTGTTTGGAGGGGCGGGCATAGTATGCACTGCATCCCTCCCCGTGGCCCACAGGTGACTGCAGCTGAGTCGGCCAAGCCGAGAGCACGTGGGGCCATCTCATCTCCAGTGCTCAGGAAACACGAATCCTCCATGTTGGAACAGTCTGTGGAAACTTTTCTAGGAGCCTCCTGTCCTCCTGCCTCTGTATGGTAGCAGCAGAGAGCATCCGATGTGGCAGTGTAGCACGCCACTCCTCCTCCCCGCAAGGGCTCTGGGTAGCCACTGTCGAAGTCTTAGCATCTTCTCAGTGGATCGCCCTTCTCGTTGGACTCTGCACCTTGTGGGTTTCTTTATGGTTTCTGGGTTTCTCTTTCTTTCTTTACTGATTTGCAGAGCATCTGGGTCAGCTGGCGGTGAACTCTGCCTAGGAAGACAGTGTTCGTTGATTGTTTGAGGGGCGCAGTGCTGTCCCTTCGGCTTTGCTCTGCTAGCGTGCCCAAATGCTTTTGTTCTCCAGAGCGTCAGATTTGGGGGCTCCGCCATGGCTGGAGCGTGATCAGAAGAAGTGGCGTGGTACCGGCAGATACCTGAAGATTCGTGCGGTTGTCAGGCTCCTTACACACTGAGGATTTGACTGGACCTAGGAGCAGGTTGCAGCCCCCAACCCACGTCATCGTGAAGCCTGATGGTCTGGGCCGCTGCCTTAAGATTAGAGAGAGCTTTCAGTTTCAGCACGTCTCTTTTCTAGTGTAAGGCGTACTCATATATGGAAAGAAGGCTGTGCTTGTGCTTCCTCAAGACCCATACTCTCCCCCGGGCAAAGCACACTGCACTGGGCTAGGTAACCTCCAGCTCTCCACCCACGGGCCCTCTGACCACAGCGTGGGAAGCAGAAGTTCCTTTTAAAGAGGAACAGTGGCTGTATGTCATGCAATCCCAAGTGCCTTACTCAGACAGCCATGGCCTGGTGTTCAGCTCTTCCGCCTGTGCCCCAGAAACTGCAGGAGAGAGATCAGACTAGTAGCGGCATCTCTTAGCTGCGGGTCCCCAAGACAGACACACACAGCCGGCCCTCCGTTTCCCACCTGCCTGCACTCTGTGTGTGCTGTCTCCCTCCCTGCCGAGGCAGTAGGAGAGCAGGGGCCAACACTCCAACTCTGGAATAGCATCTGTCTGCTTCTGGGCTGTGTGCTCAGCCCCAGCACTCAGCTTGGAGAGGCTTGCTCTCTCTCGTACCCTCGGCACCTAACTCAGAGGCTGCTGTCAGATGCAGGCCTGGACTTTCCCTGGTTGCATGCGGACGGAACCAGAAGGGGGACTTGAGGAAGGGAGAGGGATCGAGGCACCGTACAGACAGAGCCCAGAACTTGGACTTGGTCCACACAACGAGCTCTGACTCAGCTCTGCTGGCATCAGCTCATCATCCCAGGATGCAGGATTCCCTGGCAACGTTGGGTGTGCCAGTCTGCGCAGTTTCACACCTGGAGTGCAGAGCGTGAGGCTGAGGTGTGACTGGCTTTCCCTGAGCTCAAAGAAAAGCTCCAAAGAGGAGGCGTCCCTGGCTAGCTGGTTGAAAGGTTTTCTAGGTGGAGGGAGCACCCCGACCGCAGGGAAGGCAGTAGAAAAGCACAGGTCCATGAAAAGCACAGACCTGGACCAGGGGAGGGGTGCTGCTGAGAGGTGCTCTGTCTACGCAGTGTGTCCCTGGGCACACGGAGCTGGCACGGCAAGTCAGCAGGTGGCAAGGGCAGGGTCTGAATGGGCTGGAGAAGGCTTTGAGCTACTTGGGTGTCCATTCAAATCTGCTGTCTCCCCACCTTCCTGTTTCAAGTGCGTCATGCATTTGAATTCATCTTCATGTATCTCATTAAGATGCCCCTTCAGACTCCCTGCGTCCTGTAGATGAAGGTACCAGATCTTCAGTCTAACTGAATGCCAGTGTGAACGCTGGAGGTAGCAACGACCCATGTATTCGGTCTCGCTCCTTACATGACACAGCTGAGTTGAGTGGCTCCTGCTTTTCTGTCGTAGCAAGGCTTTCCCCCTCCCCAGGATAGACAGGGGAGAGATGGAGCTGTCACTGCTTTCGCTGCTGGTTCTTTCCCTAAATGGCTACAGCCACCAGGCTTAGGTCAGGCTAAAGGCGACAGCCAAGTGTTCCGTCTGGGTTTGCCACATGGGACCCTAAACACTGAGCCACGATATGCTGCCTCCGCAGATGTACCTTAGCAGGCAGCTGGAGCGGAAGCCCAGCAGCCAAAGACTGGCCCTGCGGCGTGGGATACAGATGTCCACAAGGGGCAGCTTAACTTGGTGCCCCGCATCGCTCACCCGGAGTTGTTTTAAAAGGAGGAAATACGTGAAGTTCAAACAAGAAATCGATTTGTTCTGTCACTTGCACACAAAGAGGCAGGACTAGAATTCAGATTCAGGACTCCGTGACCTTCAAGTGACTTCTCTTCTGTGGCATCAGCAAACATGTCCTCAAGACCTATTCCCCTGACCCAGAACCCTGCCAGGTAACCCCCGGCTTGCTGTGCTCCTGAGACCTGCCACAGTGTGCCCGGTCTGATAGTCCCAGGCTCACCATTTCTTCAGTGTGTTGGCTCCCATGCATCATACACGTTGGGTTAAACCATTTTGTTCTCGATCGGGGGCCATCTCAATATCTAGAAAATCTTGGCTGGGCGTAAGGGTCTAGTCCTGGCTGCTCTGCTTCCGATCCAGCTCGCTGCTAATGTACCTGGGAAAGCAGCAGCAGGTAGCACAGTTGCTTGGGTCTTTGAACCCTTAAGGGAAACCCAAAAGAAGCTCAGCCTGGCCCAGCCCCAACCATTGCAGTGATTTAGGGCATGAACCAGTAAATGGAAGATCTCTGTCACTCTCTCTAACTCTGCCTTTCAAAGAAATAAATCAATCCGAAAAAAAAAAAAAAAAGGATACCTTGTCACACAGCCTTTCCAGATCTTCTACACAAGGCATGTTCCGTTTCTCTTTCAAACCCGCACGCTGCTCCAAGTGAACTTTGCTTATTGGAGCTCGTTTTCTGGCTTGCTTCATCAGTATTTAGGTTTTATTATCTACTCCTGTACCAACAGAATTTGAACTCTGGCCTCACTGCAGTAACTGGGCCTGACCTTTTGCAGACGGGGCCCACCTGTGGTTGGCTTTGCGTGCCCAGCACCTGGCTGTTACTGCATTAAGAACACAGTGATGGACACATCATCGTCCCAGAAAAGCAAATCGCAGTACCAGAGGGCTCAGTCCAGAGTGTTCCGACCATCCTTGAAGAGCTTTCCCCTCGTTTTGGCTAACTGCTGTGTAATTCTGCCATTCAGAGTTCTGGCTCTTTGATGTAGGCACAGTGAGTGACCACATGTTTCCACTTCTCATAATATTATGAGGATCTTCAGACTCAAGCAGTGCTATTGACTTGCATGTAAATAGCAGAAGCAGTTTTAAAAAAAAAAAAAGAATGGTAAGAATGATGTGATGTGTCACTTTCCTCACCAACGTGTTGCTTGGCAACCTTGTTTTTTGTACCCACTCTAAGTACAAACTTCCCATGAAATCACACAGAATTCTATTATGTTAAGTCAGAAAATATCATGGGGGCACTACCTCCTGAAGTGGCTTCCCTTCTCATTTAGTCTGACTACAGTTCCTCTTAGCATCAACTGCCACACTTGAATGAATGTGTCCATAGATATTTTCTATTGATTTCTCATTCTGGGAAAGGTAAAAAATGAGTACTTCCTCTGGTTGTCTTTTATATGCTTGCTTTTTATAGGAAAAATTTGTTAGCAGTATTTCTTAACTGTGTGTTTATTTTTTTTTAAGTTTCTTCAGATGGAGGTACGGAATCTTCCGCCTTAGTCGATGACAACGGTAGTGAGGAGGACTTCAGCTATGAAGAACTTTGCCAAGCCAACCCTCGGTATCTGCAGCCAGGTGGGGAACAGCTGGCCATCAACGAGGTACCGCAATTTTCATAATGGGCAAATCTTGGGTCCCAGGGTCCAAAGCCATCTCACAGTCTGTCATTTAACCTTATGGTATATCTATGAAGCTTATCATAAAACCTAGAAGTCTTATTTAAAAAAACACTGACTTTTTAACACTGTTCGAGTAAAATGTGTGGGATAGAACTTTTCAGTGTTGCAGAGTATAGGATGCTACGAGGTGTCTTCATTGGCCAAGCTTGGCACCAGCAGCTCCCGCTACGCTCCAGGTGCCACTGCTCCATGCGGTCAAAGTCAGGGCTTTTAAAGCTGTCATCTTCCAACCAGCTTGAGAGCTTTACAGTACATAGTTTCCATAAATTCAATTAACTAAGTGGCACAAGGCAGGAAGGGAGCTACCTGGAGCCCAAAGTTTCCTTGTAGTTAATTAACCTGAAATAGCACAGTAGGAAGCAGGAGGGGCCAGGTGCACTGAGTCTCTGGAGTCTTCAGCAGTTAACCTGAATGGGGCAGAAGAGGCAGGGCACACTCCCAGAGCCTCCCCAGCCACTTCAGGCATTCAATCAACTTGAATGGCAGGAGAGGAGGTAGGAAGGGCTGGTGTGGAAACGGAGTTCATTGATGCTTGTCTGCCTGGCAGGCTGGTGCTAGCGATCAGCCAGCTGCACCCCGTCACACCAGGTGACTGAAGTTTCTCCCTTGAGTAAAAAGGGGGTGCTTCTTAGTTTACGAGTTTTCTCCCTTTCGTTGTGATGTAGTTCTTCATAGTGCTCACATTACCTCACTAATAGCACATAGATGGCTCCAAGAAGTAGGTGTTGCTGTTACCCACATTTTAATTCATGCTATAATATGATTCTGCCCAAGCACAGGCTAATGAAGTGCTCTGAGCACGTGGAAGGTTAGGTGAAGTTGAGCTGGGGTGTTAGGTAGGTTAGGTGTAACACCTGCATTTTCCCCTTGGGATATGTTCAGTTTGCAATGGGTTGATCAGGAGGCAGCCCCACAGTATGTAAAGGAGCATCTGGATACTTTTTTAAAGTGGATTTGGCATTTCCTTGAGGAGATGCTTCCACGACGTTTTTTTCCCTGGAATGATTTTTTTCAGTTTCTTTTGTATAGCCAAGCAGTGAACGGTGACTGAATGCCTACCTGCACATCCCCATGAGAAGCAGGTGTCGCTGCTGCTGCCTTGGGAGGGCTCACCCTGTGTGGTCGCTAACTGTGCTGCCTGCTGAGCGCGCCTCCTCTCACTGTTGCAGCTCATCAGTGATGGCAGTGTGGTGTGCGCAGAGGCCCTGTGGGACCATGTGACCATGGACGAACAGGAACTGGGCTTCAAGGCTGGTGACGTCATCCAGGTTCTGGAAGCCTCTAACAAGGACTGGTGGTGGGGTCGCAATGAGGACAAGGAAGCCTGGTTCCCCGCGAGCTTCGTGAGAGTAAGTGTGTGGTGCCTTTCAGAACATCTGACCCTTTACCCCTATTTCACCCTTTTGTCATTGTTTTTACTCCAACTTGCAAGTCAAAGCTGTAGAAATTAGACTGAGCTGAGGTTTGAAATGAAAGTGAATGTCTGGCCTCCAGGGTCATTCCGTGACTTGAGCCTGCTGGTAGGGCTGGGGCTTTGCCGAGTATGGGAAGGTGCAGGCCGGGGCTGGGCTGGGCTGCCTTGGTGCCTTGTCATGGTGCAGGAAGGTGCAGGCCAGGGCTGGGGTGGGCTGTCTTGGTGCCTTGTCATGGTGTGGGAAGGTGCAGGCCGGGGCTGGGCTGGGCTGCCTCGGTGCCTTGTCACGTTGTGGGAAGGTACAGGCCAGGACTGGGCTGCCTTGGTGCCTTGTCATGGTGTGGGAAGGTGCAGGCCGGGGCTGGGCTCGCGCTTTGTGCAGCAGACACTGGGGAGGAGTTCTGCTTTGGGTCTGGTGTCACCTGTCTGCTGTGTGTGACCCGCAGCTGCGAGTCAATCAGGAGGAGCTGTCGGGGAATTCCAGCAGCACTCCGGGAGAGGAGCAGGAGGAGGAGGCCGGCAGGAGCCGCCACAAGCACTCTGAGAACCAGCACCAGATGCGGACCAATGTCATCCAGGAGATCATGAACACTGAACGGGTGTACATCAAGCACCTCAAAGACATCTGCGAGGTGAGATGCCATCCCCCTGGGGCCTGTGCCAGTCATGCATGCAGAATGTGAAGCCCCCGTGAAGGTCTTCCCCACCTCGTCCCCCGTCCCACCTGCAGGTCATCGTGCTCCCCTGCATCTCTCGTTTTCCCTCGTTCCCTGGCCGCCGCACACTCTTCAGCACCTGCTCTCTGCATTGCTGCGTTTTGGTAGGCGGCTGTGGCAGTAGCTGTCCCCACCTGCTGCTATAGCCTGTCCTCTTTTAAGGACACACTTGGCAACGGTCTGTTTCATGACTTAACCTCTGAGATTGTTTAAAGTGGATGGCTTCCCTAGACGGCAACAACACTCTTAAAGTGAAACCTACCTGATCTTCCAAAGAACCAAAAGTCTGTCAGTTTCCAACCTCACAGCTCTAATCATTGACTCATATGTGAGATTTGCAGTCATTGAACATCCATAAAGATTTTTTTTGGTGATATCCAAGGTTGGATTTTGCAGTGTCACGATCCGCTTGGCAGGAAATTTTATTTTCTGATAAAACAGATCGTCCTGATTTCGGAGAGCTGTCCCTTGTGTATTTTCATTGCTGTGGATTTCATCTGAGCATTTACACTGAACTGGTACTCAGCCGGTCAAATCTGATCATTCCGGCTCTCCTGGTCCTGTCAGTTCAGCTGTGACCAACGGCGATCAGAACTCTCCGTGTGCGATCAGAGGAGCGTAACGTGGCCCTGCTGGTGTTTGGCTGATTGGTATCAGAGTGTAGCCATGAAGTGACAGTTCTGGAGCACTGGTTGTGTGCATGCCCTCTGCTTGGATCCACTCTGCTGAAATTGCCTCCTTACTGGGCCGATCCTGTGAGCCCCGCGTTGCAGAGGAGGCATAAAGTTAAAACAGTACAGAAGGAAATTGAACCTGAGAGTCTGTGCTCTGAACGATTACATTATGCGTTTTCTCAGTATACCAGGGAGTGGTTTATATATTGCGTATGATCCATTTAGTCTGTTTCATTCCATGACCTTAATTTGGAGGTGTCTTTACATACAGCTAAGGCCTGTTTCTACCCCACTAACTCTGCACTCATGGTGTTCTAGATGAAGGATGCATGAAAGCAGGCCTCTGGGTAAACGTACAGATTTCTTCTGTATCTGAAAAGTAGGTGACAGTGGAATACTGGTTCCTTGTCACGTTTGACAATGAACAGAACTGCGTTGTGTTCAGCAGGCGTTGACATTCTGTGTGTGACAGGTCTTCTCGGCTGTAAAATGGGATTAGTGCTGGGAGAGTGATTATCTTCAAGCGTGGCCACACCAGTTTTTGAACTCTGCTATTTGAGACTTTTTTCTGGAAGCTTCTTACGATGTCTTGGATTGCACATCCAACTGCATGGAGCTTTTCGTGTTCCTTTTGTTGTTCAAATATTTGCTAGCAAATTGTGGTCATGGAAATATATATCAGTTCATCAGGGACTCAGAGAAGTTAAAATAACTTTCTGTAATTAAAATCCCCCAAGGCCCTGGTGTAGGCCCCCGAAACTGTATTATTCAAATAGTTCCTTTGAACTTCCAGATAAGTAAAGCTTGCTTTTGTATTTTGCAGGGTTACATTCGACAATGTCGTAAGCATACAGGAATGTTCACTGTTGCACAACTTGCCACTATTTTTGGAAACATTGAAGATATTTACAAATTCCAAAGAAAGTTTCTGAAGGACCTTGAGAAGCAATACAACAAGGAGGAACCTCATTTAAGTGAAATAGGATCCTGCTTTCTTCAACATGTAAGCTGCCCCTCACTTCTGCGCTAGCACATCGGGCTAACCCCACTGGTAACAGGACTTTTGGTTCTGTGTACTGGATTAATTTCCCATAAAGTGGAAATGTCTAGGATAAAATTGATTGGGTCAGTTGTTGCCTAAATACTGAAGGTCAATTTTTTAAATAAGTCTTTTGAGGTTAGAGGGTTGTATCAACTGTGTAATAACATGTAGTAAGTAGCTGGCATTTCAGGCACTTTGAGTATTCCTCTGTTGGCTGCTGTGCTGCTGAGATAGGTAGGATTGTTGCCCACCCACCCCCCCATCTTACAGATGAGGACCCTAAGGCCCAGAGATCAGGCTACATCCTAGTAACGGGTGACTTGAGACCCAGGTGGTGGCTCTAGAACTCCCGCAGCACACAGCTGATACCGTACATATCTCAAAATGTCCCCAGGACTGTGTCCCAAACCTATCAATTGCAATTGGACTCCTCACGTTTCAATACACAGAGATTTAAGAGGAAGAAGATACTGGTTTCTATAATATGATTATAACCCTATGGTGATAGCCATAAAAGCAAAACCACCTCCTTTCTTACTTCCTGGGTGCTGGACTCAGTAGCTTTCTAGAGTCAGCAGTGGGAGCCAGTTCTTTGGATGGGAGGATTTTAAATAACTGAACATAATATGATTTAAGGGTGTGGGCATGTTTGGGGCTTTGCAAAAGCCTTGTGTGGGCGGGGCAGCAGCATCCCAAAGGGTAGTGAGGTGAGCTTCCAGTGTCAGCTGAGACCTGGTTGGGGAGGCCACAGCCTCAGGGTGGCTGGGGGGACCGCAGGGGCTGGCCAGGGAAATGGCCAAAAGGAGCCTCCAGCACCCTGGGCAGATACCAACCAGGAGAAGGGAGATGAACAGAGAGCTGCAGTTTGAAGTGGGAGTATGATGGGTGTGGAAGACAGGTGCTAGAGAGCTGGAAAGGAGACTTGGAGTGAGAGGAAGAGGTGTTGATTTGCACTTCCTGGCCAAGAAAGTTCATCTGTGGAGGTAGGTGGACTAAGCCAAGGGCAAGGCTTGGACCTCCTCCTCCTCCTGAAAGACACAACAGAGCTGGTAAGGAGATGGTGGCATAGGGACCTGCCCCGTTTACCTCTCAAGTAAGTGAGGGGAGAGCCTGAATCTGAAGCAGCCCAGCCCTCTACCTGCACAAGGTACACCACAGCTGACCACCCCTGCCCAAGAGCCCTTCATTGCAGAGGAGACGTGGGTTGAGGTCCATGCTGTCGAGGCATGGACCCAGAGCAGCCTGGGCTGCCATCGGCTCCTTGCTGTGGACATCTGCTTTCCAGGAGTGTCCCGCTAGATGGGTTGGGTATTGCCATCGTGGTCCCGTCATGGTGCAGAGCCACCTGTGACAGACGCTGTGCTTTCCCTTTCTCAGCAAGAAGGCTTCGCCATCTATTCCGAGTACTGCAACAACCACCCGGGCGCCTGTGTGGAGCTGTCCAACCTCATGAAGCAGGGCAAGTACAGGCACTTCTTCGAAGCCTGCCGCCTGCTGCAGCAAATGATCGACATCGCCCTCGATGGCTTCCTGCTCACGCCAGTGCAGAAGATCTGCAAATACCCACTGCAGCTGGCCGAGCTGCTCAAGTACACCACGCAGGATCACAGGTGCTCAGAGCGCCCATGCGCGTGACCCTCAGCGCCCTGCCCTCGCCCCTAAGACAGATGAACTAACTCAGTTCCGGCAGCTGATAGAACAGTCAGGCTGCCTGCGTGCGTCTGCCACAGCTCTCTGACGCAGCTTCCTGTTCCTGTACACCCGAGGAGACCGTAGGTGGTGGCTCAAGCACTTGGGTTTCTATCACCTGTGTGGGAGACCCAGCACTCCAGGCCCTTTGTTCTCTGCCTTGGCCAAGTTCTGTCCTTGCCGGCCATGGGCACTCGGAGGATAAACCAGTGGGTGGAAAGTTTTTTCTCTCTCTCTCTCTTCCCCTGCCTTTCAAATAAAATGAGCATGCGTGGTAACGAATACATAAAACACAGGCTTAGTAGAGTCGGAACTCCATGTAGGCAGCTTCTGGATTATTTAGTGTTTACAGCTGGTTCTCCTAAACTAATTGTGACTCGTCCACAGAGCCTAACCCTGACTGCATGAGAGAGGGCGTCACCCACTCAGTCTGCGATAGGCACACCCATCTCTGGCATGGGAGAATGTGGCATGGTGCAGTGCAGTGCGAGTTGCTGTTGTCTTCATTTTCGGCCACTGGGCTGCCTGCAGGGACACGGCAGTAGCAGGGCACTAACTGCCAGGCACCCAGTCCGTGCTCGTGTGTGATTGGACCAGTTTCCTGTCTTAGAATGCAGAAGCTGCATGCCTGGGTCTTTCAAAAAGTCCTTTGCTTCTTAATTTTTCTGTGTATCTTCTCTGGCTTATGATCTGGTTTCATACTTTCATTATTTCTTCAAATGTGTGGCTCTCTTGGCTTCCCTAAGTTCCCGATTTTTCTATGAATGTCACTTGCTTTTATTTATTGCAGTGAACTTTCTATTGCTATTTTTCTTTTTTTTAAGATTTTTTTTTTTATTACAAAGTCAGATATACAGAGGGAAGGAGAGACAGAGAGGAAGATCTTCCGTCCAATGATTCACTCCCCGAGTGAGCACAGCGGCCGGTGCTATGCTGATCCGAAGCTGGGAACCAGGAACCTCCTTCGGGTCTCCCACGCAGGTGCAGGGTCCCAAAGCCTTGGGCCGTCCTCGACTGCTTTCCCAGGCCACAAGCAGGAAGCTAGATGGGAAGTGGAGCTGCCGGGATTAGAACCGGTGCCCATATGGGATCCTGGCATGTTCAAAGCGAGGACTTTAGCCTCTAGGCCACGCCGCCGGGCCCTATTGCTATTTTTCTAACCTAAAATCCTTAGACTCTGTTGCTCACTGACTTCACTTTAGTCTTAAAATTCTCATCTAATTATATATAAAGATTGCTTTTTTGAGATTTATTTGTGTATTTGAAAGAATTACAAAGAGAGGGAGGCACACACACACACACACACACACACACACACACACACACACACACACAGGAAGATCGCCCATCTGCTGGTTCACTCCCTGGATGGCCACAACAGCTGGAGCTGGGCCAAGCTAAAACAAGGAGCTAGGCAGGCTCTTCTTCCAGGGCTCCTGTGTGGGTGATAAGCACCCAAATACTTGGGCAGGCTTTTGTTCCCAGGCTATTGGCAGGGAGCTGGGTCAGAAGTGGAACAGCTGGGACATCAACCAGTGCCCGTGTGGGATGCTGGATCACAGGCCCAAGGGCAGCAAGGGCTGTTTTGTGGGGCAGGGCTAGGGACTCCTTGGTAAATGAGCTGTAGGTTCTGTGCTCAAGGCTTTTCCCTGTGTCTATGCAGATGGATTTTAATTTCATCTGAGACCCAATGGGCATTATCTATCTTTAAAGTATGCCTTTAACTTGTTGTATCTTTTCTCAGAAAGTGAAAGCTTCATCGCATTAGCACATGACTGATTCACATGTCCCAAGTTATTGAACAAAACCGATTGTAACAGCTCAGATACTGTTTTCCAGCCTGTGTGAGCTGGGGACTATGCAGCTTGTTTTTCTAGCACATACAGTTTTAGGGCTCTGTTGGGAAGTGAGGGCATCCTAGTTTGAAGTGACCACAGCGTATGAAAGGCAACAGAATTGGGGATCTGTTGCTAAGGCCAGTCCCCTTTGAGCACTGACATAACTCATAATTCAGATATCTGAGTCTGTGGCTCGTGTCTTCCTGTTTCCGTTTCTGAGCAGTATAAAATATGAGACCCAGCAAATAACTGCCTTGTAATGGCTAGGGATTTCAAAAATATTTCATATAGCAGAATGTGATAAACCAGAAAATCAAAGCAATAATAAGAACGATTCTTTACTGTAATTAACAAAAGTATTCCATTGTCACAGTGACTAGAGCTGATTTCTTATGGCATTTACATTCATTTGTTGTGATTTCTGGGAAGTGAATGAAAACATTCTAATTCTGAATTGCATTCCATTCCGTCAGCTCCCTTAACCTATGCAGACTGTAGCCTATTCATGGGGGAACAAGAGAAAGGAAACAATGGCTGTTGCTTAAATGCCATTTCGTCTAGACCGTTCGTATACACGTCAGGGATTGAGTGCATTATTTTGTCAGTTCTCATTTGTGAGTTGCGTGTGTGTTTGACTAAAATTAACCTCCTATTTGCAGTGATTACAGCAACATAAAGGCCGCCTACGAGGCCATGAAAAATGTGGCCTGCTTGATCAACGAGCGCAAACGCAAGCTGGAGAGCATCGACAAGATTGCCCGCTGGCAAGTGTCCATCGTGGGCTGGGAGGTAAGCGTGGGCGCCTCCCAACACTGCCACCCACTCCCGCTGCACCTTCCACTTAGTGATGGTAGCCTGTGTGTGATCATCTTAATGGTATATGTGCATTTTGAGGCATATGGATGGATTTAACAGTCAACTACTTTATCGTCCATTTGGACAGAGAAATAAGTTCTGAGGGAGGCCTGTGATTAACATATTGCCCAGGCTCCATCTCTTTCATTAAAGTCAACTCCAGAGGAGGAACTAGAATCTATTTCCCATCCAATAAGGTAATGCAGTGGCAGGAATAAGGGGGACAAGCATCATCTATGAGATGGAACAAATGCATCTTCTAATGTGGCCTGCAATGATGGGCCAACAAATGCATACACAGGTACACACTTTGTTAAGTATTTATGAAAACCACGATGAGTGTTTATCTAATCTGTCTAACAGTGGTTTACCTGGGTTCATATATTCTTCTCAATAGTCCTGACACCTCGTGGGCACTGTGCAGAAAGCCCCTAAGGCGGGTGGAGAACACGGAAGCATGGAAGCATTCAATAGCTTATTCCAGGGCCACTCAGCTACTGAGTGGCAGAGCTGGATTCAAACCGAGGCAGTTGAGCTTCTCAATCCCCACTGTTAGCAACAACAGGAAGCTGGCACCATTCAGATCATGTTCGGATGAAGTGCGGTTCTTATCTCATTCCTTGGGGAGGACCCACTCCCCCCACAGATCCAGAAATTACAGTGAAAAGTTGGGTTTTTAATCAACGTAAGTTATAATGGTGACTCTTGGAAAGAAATACCTGTATTGCGAGGGACTTAGAGACTTCCTGGTGCTCAGAAGGGATCTCCAAGGTGGTTGAGTCTAACTCCTTGTTTTGGAAGAGAAGAATCTAGGCCACACGTTGCTCTAAGCAAGTAAACAGAGGAGCTATTTCAGAGCCTAGCTCTTTTGCCTCCAAAACCTGTTGTGCATGGCTGGAATTAAAGGGGAGTAAAATCTTATGAAACAAAGGCCAGTGTTGTACCAAATACCATAAAGTAGCATTGGACTGGATCCAAGCTAAATATTGCAAAAGTGTGCTTTTCTTTCCAACCTTGGACTCTGACATCAAGGGGCTGATTTACCTCCAGGAGGTTACTTAGTTCTTACCAGCAGTTTGCCACCTGGCCTTTTGTTGCCATGACCCTAAACTCCTTGTTATTCTGGGGAGCTGCTAGGTACCTAACTTGGAAGGCCAGAAGGGTGTACAGCTGCTGCTCTGAAATTCCCTGTTACAACCTCCTGATTCTGCCATGTCAAGTTTGAACCAATCACATCCAGTTAGGCATACATTTCACTGAAGGGTTTAGATCAGGAAGATGTCTCCGGTAACCTAAAGTTCGATAACATTTTCCCAATGTGTAGAGAAAAATAAAAACTAATGTCATGTACCAGGAGGCCAATCAACAGTTTTCAATGGATTTTGAAGTCCTGCTCACCTACGATGGTGATTGGATAATCCTAGAAAAACTCTCTATCAGGGGCCCCTTCTGTGTCTCAGATACCCAGAATAATCTGAATTGGAAGATTTTTGTTGGAGGTTTATTTATTTGAACGAGTTATGGGAAGAGAGAGAGAGAGAGAGAGACCTTCCAGTCAGGGTTCGCTCTCTAGATGACTACAGTAGCCAGGACTGGACCAGGCCAAAGCTGGGAGCCAAGAGCTTCTTCCAGGTCTCCCACCAGGGTGGCGGAGCCATCTGCCACGCTCTCCCAGGCCATCAGCAGGGAGCTGGGTGGGAAGTGGACCAGCTGGGATGCGAACTAGCACCGTGTGAAATGCTGCTGTTGCAGTCATTGCCTTCATGTGCTGTAGCAGACTGCCAGCCCCACCCCTCCCCTTTCCTCCAACTGGAAGATATTAAATGTGTGTTTTTTTATCTTTCCAGGGCCTAGATATTTTAGATCGAAGCTCAGAATTGATTCATTCTGGGGAACTGACCAGAATCACGAAGCAGGGCAAGAGCCAGCAACGGACATTTTTCCTGTTCGACCACCAGCTGGTGTCCTGCAAGAAGGACCTGCTGCGCCGGGACATGCTCTACTACAAGGGCCGCATCGACATGGACGAGATGGAGCTGGTGGACGTGGAGGATGGGCGGGACAAGGACTCGAACCTCAGTGTGAGGAACGCCTTCAAGCTCGTCAGCAGGACCACGTCGGAGGTTCATCTGTTCTGTGCCAAAAAGCAGGAAGACAAGGCAAGGTGGCTGCAGGCCTGCTCCGATGAGAGGCGGAGGGTGCAGGAGGACCAGGAGATGGGTAAGCCCTGGGGCTCATGTGCACCTGCACCCAGCCCATCCCTCACTCCACCCACAAGCCGCTGTGCCCCGGCTCTGACCTTCTTAGAGCTAAATCCGTTGGTCCAGTGCAGTCAGAATGCAGATAGAGCCAGCATCAGACCCCGTAACAGCATACCTCAACAATAGCATAGTGCATAGCATTTGCACTATAGGAGGTGTGCTGAGTTAGCACGTACAGGGAGTGGGCCCATGTCTGAGGCATATACTACAAGAGGCCTTGAGCCTGCAGAGATTCAGTGTGCACGGAGCCTCCTGGAGCCAGTCCTCCGCTGTACCCAGAGACAGCTGCATTCACTGGGAAGGAGCTAGCTGGGCACTCTGCTGCTGTTTCCACTTGGTCTCACCGAGTCCCTAGGTGCACTTAATGGGATTATATGCATTTTACAGATGAGAAAATGAAGGCTTAAGGAATGGCTTGCTCCTCAAACATGGCCAGGTAGCATTCAAAGGTAGCTTGGTGAGACCCCACAGACCAGACCATGCTGGCCAGCCCTCACCCAGGCCGTCAGGAGTATCAGGTGATTCTTAAGGCTGCCTCCTACATTTGCAAAAAGCATTTTCTTTGAGAGATCTGTTCATTTGAAAGACAGGGTTACAGAGAGCAATGGAGTGAGACAGATCATCCAGATGCTGATTCACTCCCCCAGTGGCCTCAGCAGCTGGCACTGAGCAATGCAAGAGCCAGGAGCCAGAAGTCTCATCTGGGTTTCCCACGTGCGTGATGGGCTCAACACCTGAGCTGTGTTCCATTGCCTCCCCGGGCACATTAGCTGAGTGGCAGATATTCAAACCAGCACTCATATAAGATGTTGCAATCTGCGGCTTAGTCCGTCGTGCCAAAACACCAAAGCCTACAAAAAAAATACTCCTTTTTTTATTTTGTTCTCTTTGCTGCCACGTTCTCTGCATCTAGCAGTGCTGCTATGGGTATCCCCGACTCCCTCCTGTAACACCTAGGACAGGAAGCCTGCGGGTGGACTTGGCTTTGCTTTGTCTTCCCAGCCTCCACTGTCCTCAGGTGGAGTGTGTCACTGTGACACTGAGGCCGCCATGACTGGTGCAGATGCTGCCACATCCGCAGTGTCTGAGCTCCAGGCGTGGTGTATTCGGGGACTTGGAGCACACGTTGGGGAGGTCGTGTTTCCTGGCTGGAGGACCCAGCATATCCAACTCATTCCACCTGCTGTAGGAGTGAAACCAGGGAATGGCTTCCTCACTCCCTAACAGCCCTAGGGCATGTAGGATTCTGTGTCAGGGTGGAAGGGAGCTGCAAGTCAGCTTGATCTGCTGTTGGGAGCAGGAATCCACCCCCTCCCCGAGGCTCCCTGAGTGGGCAGTCATCACTCTGTGGACCGTGGGGTGACATGCACCCCTCAGGTCATCCCACAGCTGCAGGTCTGGGTGGCCTTTGGACGTGAGAACCCTAGCAGCTGTCATGCATCAGTTCTGACTTTAACACCGTTTGAGTTCAGCTGTTCCCTGCAGTAAGCACAGTGTTCTTGGGATATTTGCAGGTGATAGTTGCTAAAAGGAAGGATGGCAGCCATAGTGTTCTAATCATTACGTGATTGCCCATCATGTAATGTCTGGTACAGGATCTGAATCATTGTAAGTTGGAGTGTTTGAGTTTCCCCTGAGAGAGCACTGGCCCCAATTACCTGTCAGTGCTGCCCTTCAACTGGGGAGGAAGGAGGAGCCTGGTTTTCTGCTGAAGGGTTAAGCATTGCTTCCTTCTATCTAGTGCTCAGAAGAAAGGCATGGTTATGAATTGGATGAGTGTGGGTTGACACAGGACCCATGCTGGTGTCTGGGATGTTATACCCACCTCTGTGTCTGATATGTTGTGGGTGGGTAGATTTGGAGAGTGCCCTGAGCCAAGAGACCCGTTTTTTCCAGTGCAGCTGTTTTCACCCAGTCCACCCTGTTGGTGCTGATGGCACCCACGCGGGGAGTTCAGGGCATCCAGCGTCCACAGATGGAATCCAGTGCAGACCAGGAGGAGGCAGTGCTTTTGCTCAGGGTTCAATCTGATTCTTACATCTCAGCACACAGGGGGATAGAGCAGGTCCCTCTGCTTGGTTCTCTCTGCCATGAGGGTCTGTTAGGTGCCCCTGCGTGAGGATTGGCTCAGCAGGTAGCCAGGTGCCCATCTCTCCTGGGGCAGTCCTCTACTGAGGACCCCTGCGACTCCCCAGGGCAGTGTCCCAGCCTCGTGACACTTGAGGATTGCCCATCTTGGCTGTGGGTCAGAGGGACTGCTCCGTCATGGTGTACGTCGGCTTGCCACGAGTATTTACTGCCATTTGTTTCTGATTGCAGGCATGGAAATCTCAGAAAATCAGAAGAAGCTCGCTATGTTGAATGCTCAAAAGACAGGACATGGAAAGTCCAAAAGTAAGTTTGGGAGAGGACTTTGTCTCCATGTGTGTCAGCATTGTGATGAAAATGGAGAAGTGCCTACATCGATTCTGATGAGCTGTGAGTGAGGGAGAGGAAGGCTTAGGGTGAGACGCTGAAGGGCACACCCAGTGTGGGAATGGTGGTGCTACCCACCAGGCCATGAAGGTTTGCCAATCTGAAGCAAACCAAAGGGCTGGCTCTGGGACTACAGAAGTCTCCAGAAGTCTCCAGCCTCCTGCTGCTTGCTGGCCCTAGGCTGGCCACATCCAAGTGCAACTCAGGAGAGATGTGAGTTCAGCCAGGAAATCCACACGGAGAAGACACAGCATAGGGACTAGGAGCTGCCCCACCTCCACGCACACCCCGGCGGCAGCTGGGCCATGTGCACGCAGAGGTGCCTCCACAGTGCAGATGCCATGCAAGCTGTAACCCAGGAGCAGTTCAGTAATAGGGGCTTCTATTACAACAAGGGCATTGCATTCCCTAAGAGATGTATGAAGATCAGCTGCAAAAAAGCAACCCTGCATCTTCCTTTCTGAAAATGCGAGAGATGCGTTACGGCCCAGGGCTGTGCTCGGCTGTCTGCAAATGGGCTACGAAGGAGTCCTACCTGCCCTTCAGAGTTCTTAGCTTTCCCCAGCTTTCTCTACAAATGCACATCTCCACTAAGTCGTATCTTTAAGGCAGATAGGCCCATTGTATTATTTTCTTTTTTTTTTTTTTCAAATTTTAGCTTAAAAAGGCAAATTTTCAAAAATGAGAGACAGATCCTCCATCTGCTGGTTCACTCCCCAAATGGCTACAACGGCTGGAGTTGAGCCAATGCAGAGCCAGGAGCCCTCTCCAGATCTCCCACATGTGTGCAGGGCCCAAGGACCTGTGCCACCCTTCTCTGATTTCCCAATCCACAGGAAAGGAGCTGGATCGGAAGTGGAGTAGCCAGGAGTAGAATCGGTGCCCATTTGAGATGCCAGTAATGCAGACAGGATTAGCCTACTGAGCCATCACACCTGCCCCTGTATTTCTGATTTGAATAGCAGATGACCATATAATACCTATTGTTAGATGTATCGGTCTCAATTCGTGTCTTCTGAGTCACTCGCTCGGCAGCTAGGCTCCTGAGAGAGGAACTCAGACATTCCTGTGGGTTGTCTTGGTTGATCCTCCGTGTCATCCTCTGAGCTAAGGAATGCGTTCTGTAGTCAGGTCAGGCCTAACTTCCAGCCTGGGTCCTGTTCTCTGCCAAGCACCCCCCTTCCATCACATCCTGTGCCTTATGCAGTCACTTGTGAGCCCTAATTTCAGTCAGCCTTTGTAATTAGCTCTGTACGCAGCTTAAAAGGCTGCTCTGATGAAGCAGTTTTGTTTAAAGCAGGTAGGGGGCATTTTCATAAACCTGTATATTTGTTTAATGTTTCGTAGCCACCCACCGAGTAGGCCTCTGTTCACCCCCATTTTAGAGGTCAGGAAACTGAGGCACCAAGAAATCAGTTGGCTTCCCCAATACCAACTGATGAGTGGCAGGACAGGGTTTGGCCAGGGCAGTATGAGCTCCAGGCTCTCAGGGGGAGCGTTTCATTGCCTCTGACCCCCCACTAGCAATGCAATGCTGGTCCTCACAAGACCTCCTTGGGTCACAGTGCCCCCTCACAGTACCAGCTTGGCATAGCTGTACCTTGCCTGAACAGTGTTGGGAGAATCCGATGAACTAATCCACTTTTATGTCCGTGGGAAACGCTGAGGAGGCTCCTGGCCCCGGCTTTGGATTAACTCAGCTCGTAGGGTCTCTCATTGTTAGATGTTCTTTTGGTTGATGCAGATTAAGAGTTAGCCATGAACTTGAGTCTTGACCGCCTTTCTTTTGGCCTTTGTGGTTGAGGAGTGACCTTCAGTCTGTGTTCTGTCTCTCCCCTTGAACCAGGCTACAGCGGATGCCCCGTGGCACCACCACACCAGGGCCTGCACCCCCTCCACCAGCGCCACATCACAGTGCCCACCAGCATCCCTCAGCAGCAGGTGTTTGCCCTGGCAGAGCCCAAAAGAAAGCCTTCCCTCTTCTGGCACACCTTCAACAAGCTTACACCCTTCAAGAAGTGAAGCTGAGGTGCCGCGAGGAGCACCGTGCTCAGGTCTTCTCAGCAATGCGAGGAAATGTCTGCAACTGGTGCTGAAACCTTTTGGGGATCAATGAAGGAGCGAGGGACTTGGGTTCCGTTCAGGCTCTGGAGACCCAGCTGCCTTTTCTGGCAGGAAGCAGAAGGTCCTGACACAGCTCATCCACAGGAGAGCCCCAGGGCCCACGTGGCGGGCCACAGTGGCTGCCCACGCTGTGGCCCCCACGAACCGCACCATGACGGGCCCACTCTTGCTGCGGTCCGAGCACATTTCATCCCAAGCGATGGCTTGATGGCAGGTCACTTCCTTATTAGGTTTTGGAGAGAGTCGTCGACAAGGAGTTGGTAGGACACTCACTTGCCCTAGCACATGTCTGGTCGTACCTAGCGGGTGCGCTCTTACTCACTGGCATAGTATTAGGGGCCCTACAGCTGCGGTGACTGTGGCTGTGGTCTTCCCAGTATTGTCTGGGCCTTCATAGTTACCAAATGACAGGCACAAGCTTTGTCCTACAAGGCTGGGGACAAGCAGATGTGGCCACGAGTACCTGGCCGCCTGTGGCTTGCAGTTCATGGATGGAACCCGGCTCCGGGCCCGTCCTCAGGCCAACCCTCACCTGCCTCAGCGTCTTGTGTAACCGCACAAGCAGAAGTGACATCCCGTACCAGTGTCTGAGAAGCTGCCGTTCCCGCAACTGCTGGCAACCGGAGAGCCCGTTAAACATCCCGCGGATGATGCAGCCAGCAGGAAGTACTGTGTTTCAAAAAGCATCCTCTGCTTCTTCCCGTGCTCATCTGACGGCCTCGCCCATCACATTGCAAAGACACGGGCTTCACATGAGAAAACATGAAGGGCATGGGGTCCTGCTCCGCAGGGACTGGCAGCTGGCTTTGTCACGTGAGCCCTGGCCGTCATGACGTCAGCAGACACCTGAAGGCCCGTCGTTGAGAAGGAGACCTTGACGAAATACCTCGGCTCAGAGAGAGCGTTCTTTCCAAATGAAGGCGACACAGGGCTGGGGCCCGCAGGTAATGCCTCCTTTTCCGGGACCAAACTGCAAAATGTGATGGCTATACTCGCTGAGAATGCCTGGAGCAGGCAGGCGCTGCCAGCCAGGGAAGCTTGCTCACCCCTTGGCACACTGGGTAGAGAATGGAGCCTCTTGCATTTTGTGGCTTGGACCAGCCCCAGTTTTTATATGCTATTCTTGCACAGTTCTTTTTTCTAATAGACCTATATATGCAAATAAACACATCTTCAAACAGAGGTGTTATCTGAGTCTCCAGCTGGGTGGGCTTGCTGTTCTCCCCCACCTTTCCCTATAACCAAAGCTGTTAAAGAGGTGCTGGTTCAGCACCGTGAAAACAACCCTGACCCTGGAGCTCCGTGTTAACTGTCCACGGCCCTGCTGTGGCATCCCGGGAATGCCTGCCTGCCTGCCAGGCAGCGGTACCAGGAGGTCCCCATGCCCTCTGAGCAGCCGCTGCCCAGGGTTGCATCTGTGGCCCCACACACCAGATCCCAAGGTAGAGAAGTTGCCACCTGCGGGAGGTCGTTCTGAGATGCTGCGGCTTCAGCCATGGGAGGCCCCCCCGGGGGTGGCTGTCTTTCCCTGCTGGAGTTTCACAGAACTGACCCAGCAAAATACACTTAAACTGGTTCTTTAGGACACCTCTCCGTACCTAGAGGGGTCTGTGTGATACACGGAGTTTTTGTTTCTGCAGAAGTTCTCAACAGTGTTTTATGTATACATGCCATAAGAATTGCTTTAAGGAAACCAAGAGAAGCCTTCACATGTGTTACATTTCCAGTGAGGGCTCAGCTCCGGTGCGGAATCTCTCGGAGAGCTTCCATTTCCTGCTTGAAGTTCTGGAACCAGTCCAGCCCTGGCTTCCAGCTCCCACCTACCTCCACGGACTTCCTGACAGAGACTGCTGAGGACTCGGTGTGTTTTTGTAGAAAGTCAGGTGCCGTGCAAGTCCGAGCTCGTCCCAGGAGCGTCACACGGTCTGAGAGTCGCCTGATCAGTGTCCCAGGCAGATCCCCATTTGGCTTTTCAGGTGATTTTGAAACTGTTACCACATTTTTTTTTAATGGATAAACCATTTTTTGACTTCCTAAAAATTATGTCTTGCTTAGGTTTTGTTAGCAAATATTTGAGTTCTACAAAGAATAGAGGCCCCAACTGTCTTCATTTTTGCTGTTGTTGTTTGCCAAACATCCTTCTTTATTTAAATCACATGATCCTCTTGGTGGGGCAAAAAAAAAAACAGCCTCTTGCATGAACTGTGGATGCTAGCTCTCTTTTCTGTCTCCTGCTCTCATTTTAATCCTGTGTTCCTTAAGAACGGGCTAAAAAACTGGCAGAACGTGCCAATGAATTTCGCTGATCCTTCCCCTTTCAGAATCTGCTCGCTGTTATTGATAGGTGAAATGGCCTTGGATCTCAAGCAGCCTTCTCTCTGTTGATCACACCTACAAGGGGTCGGTGCCAGCGGGAGACGCTGAGCGCTCAGCCAAGGGGACATTCGTGCTTAGTCTGACCTGCGGATGAGACAGAGATGACAAGCCATTGGCCCGTGCTTTCATGCCGTGCCCTCCGCGTAGCTTTCACCTGAGCATCTCATTTTGTGGTCCAAAACGTTTTGCCACCGTCCAGTGCTGCTTCTGAATGCCGTGCCTTCGTGTGCCTGATCCAGATGCAGGCGAGCTTCCATTCATCTAGACACAGGGCGGGGTGCGTTTGATTCCAAACTCTGTTCCCCACGGAAGTCTCCTGGGAAAGGCCGGCAAAGACCCTCCAGCAGGACCTGGGCCAGTGGCCCTGCTGCGAGGTTCTGCTCCTCCAGGTTCCTCAGTGCGGAGAGGACCGCCTGATCACCAGGGCGGAGGCACAGCTTTCTGCCTCGGGAATTCATCCAGGAAGAGAAGGAAGAGAGAAGACGCCCTCCCGCCGCGCAGTGGGAACAAATGCCCTTTCAATAACATTCAGGCTTGGGGGGCTAGACCCCACCCCATTGTGGGGTTAAACCAAAAACAAAAAACCGCGCTCCCCACCTCCGTCACAATCTCAAACTGGCTTTCTTTGTTAAAATTTCACCTGGCTAATGGTTATTTTCAGGATTCAGTGAAAGTGAAGCTCAAAAACTACCCCCTCCCCCCCCCCGTTCTTCCCCCTTCCCCGTTCTACCCCCCTAAAAATAATAAGTGAAAGCTAACTGGTCTTGACCAAAAGCAACAAAGAAACAGCAGCTTGAGTGTGTGATGGGAAATGTCCTTGGCGACAAATACTTTTCCTGATTGCCTGTGGTTAGCTCATAGGCATTGCCATTTGTAAATAGAAAATGCTCCTAATGCATTGAGTGATTTAGTAATTGGTCTCCTTTGCTTTTGTAAATATTAGTATCCATTGTGTATGACTGGCTGGCCTACTTCCCAAGACTTTGAATAACATTTTAACTTCTTGTCATCAAGATGATGTTGATTGTATAGGTCAGGTGGAAACTTCCACAGTGATGAGTTAGCTGTTGACAGCTGAACTGCAATGTACAAGATTGATGTAATTTGATATGTATTTTTGTTGAATGAAGTTTTTTGTAAAAAAAAAAAAGTTATTGGAATGATTTCTTGTAAATGTTGGGAATCTCTATTTGTTGTTCTGTATATTAAAAGTAATTTGCCAAACTGCTGCTCGTAACTGTATTTGAAGAATTAAACAAATTAGCACAAGCCAGGTGGGGGTGTTGCCCTGCGGGGGGCGGGGGGGGACGGCGCGGGGAAGGCTGGGGGCTGCAGATTTTTGCCTACCCCTGCTTTCCTTTCCGATAGCCACTTTCAGCAGTTAGAGGGCACTGGGTGGGGACCACTGAAAGGAGATCCTGTAATTGCCCCGGCTTTGCTGCCAACCCTGGAGGACAGATAGAACTGGCCTTTGTGCCCCCTTTGACCCCGGACTGTGGGAGGGACCCTCCAGCAGGACCTGAGCCAGTGGCCCTGAGGCACACTTACTGTGGGGGTGGGGTAGAAAAGAATTTCCTCCGTTCATTAACAGCTGGGAGAAGCCAAGTAAACAGCCCATTGTTTGCTGCAACTGAGCAGAGAAGGGCTCTGGAGTGCCAGCGTGGCCCACCCCCTCTGGAAATGAAGAGTGGCCCAAGATGAAACCCTACAGATGACACAGTGGGAAGAGGAAGATGACGGAGGCATTTTTTTGCAGAAGGATTGTGGGGAAGGTGAGCTGCTGCATGCCAGCCTCCTCCCCTGTGCTCAGAAACCAACGCTGAGGTGTGACTGTCTGTCTCCCCGAGGAGCTGGTAGGCAATAGCACAGAGAGTGAAATTCACCGCCAACTGATCAACACTAGAGAGGTGCCACTGTTGTGCAGTGATGCCAGACGGGCCCTGAGCCTCGGTGTGGCTGGGACGAGAGGGGGCAGAGACAGGCGCAGGAGCCCAGGATAGTGAGGCAGAGGCCCTGAGGCCAGACAGGGGAGCTTCCTTCTGCCTCTGAAGAGTTCAAGACCGGCTGGGACCAGCTTTGCCCAATTGGGGGCCAACAGTTGGCAGTGCAAACCGCAGACGGGGCGAGGAGGGGCCCCAGTCTGCAGGAAGCGGATAAGGACAGCCGGCAGGCCAGGGTGGGCTGGGAGATGGGGGGCACCAGGGCCAGGGAGGAAGGCTCCCCTAGCCACAACTGGCAGGAAGGGACCTTGTGGGTGTGCCTGAGGGGCCAGGGAGTCAGCCTGCAGACCCTGTTTGTGTATTTATGCAGCTGAGACAACCCCGGGGGTGGGGGTGCCCATTGCAAGGGCTCAGTTAGCTAAATCCTCAGCTGGCATGTACCAGGAATGCAAGAGAGAATAGCCCAAAGCCTTGGGAACCTGCCACTGTGTTACAGACCTGCAAGAAGCTCCTGGCGCCTGGCTTCAGATCAGCTTAGCTTTGGCTGTTGTGGCTGTTTGGGGAGTGAATCAGTGGATGGAAGATTTTTCTCTGTTTCTCTAAATCTGCCTTTCCAATAAAAATAAATCTTAAAAAAAAAAAAGGCTGGGGAGGATCAATGAACGCTGGAGGAGTGGTGGCACCAAGGTCTTCATGGCGGGGAATAGGTGGTCTCTCCAAACTCACCTGCCTACGCAGGGCACACACGTCTGAATGCCCTGTTAGGTACCACGGGTCCAACATCCCAGGGAGACCAGGCCACTGCCAGGACACTCTGCTGCTGCTCAGGCAGCAGATTCCTGCCCTGTGAGTCCTTGGTCAACAGGGACCAAAATCCAAAGTTTTCTGAACTGAGCAGTGCTGAGAGAAGATGCCCTCTGACCCACAGGTGACTCACGTTCCGAAGCTCTTCCCAGACATCTGTGCCTTCCTCCGCTCCCTCCCCTTCCTGCTGTTTTTGCAACGGAGCCCCTGGGGACTGCTGCTGCAGCAGGAAGGCCACGCTGCTTTAGCTTGCCCTGGATTCCTGGTGTGTAGCAGCAGCCCGCAGCCCTAGGGGTCAGGTAAGTGTGTGAAGTGTGTCTTTCCATTCGGTGGATACGATCTGACTCCTGCCCCGGCTTAGCTTATCAGGGAGACGGGGAATCCTGCCTAATGATTTGCCAAATAGTCAGATGCTTCTGGGAGTCTGCACAAGAAGAGTAAGTAAGCTGGCTCCAAAACTCCCCGGGAAGAAGCTAAACGGGCACTGAAAGCTTTTGAGCTTACTTGGCCAGCTAGCTCTCTGCAGACTGGCTGGGAGAGGGGTAGAAAACCTAGAAGGAATCATAAGGATGGACTTTCTAGAATGCTTCCTGCACGAGTGGGGCAATCATTTTGCATAAGTTTCTTATGTGTCCATTTCTATATCTGTGGCTATGTTAATTTACACAGTGTACTTCTAACAAATATGTTTTCTTAAAATGTAGAAGAAAAAGTGTACAAGGTAATAGGACACATGGAAAAAATACACAAGGGGATTTCCAGAAGTTCACAGCGATATTTATTGCCATGATTTTGAAGTCCGTGCACAGTTCATGATACTGATTTGTCATGAATTTCTTAGGAAGATGATTAGATAGTGCCTCATGGCTGCTTCCCTGCCCAGATGCCAGCATCAGCCAGGGCTGGGTGGCGGCTGTAACCCAGAGCTGGCATCTCAGTCTCGCACTTGAGTGGAGGGAACCCAGCTGCTTGTCCAGCCACCTACTGCCTCCCACAGCCCAGACGGGCAATAAGTTCGAGCCGGAGGCCAGATCCAGGAATTCAAACAGGCACTCTGATGTGGACCACAGGAAGTCTTTTGTTTTAAAATTGATTATTTTTATTGGAAAGTCAGATTTACAGAGAGGAGGAGAGTCAGACAAATATTTTCCATCCACTGAGTCACTGCCCAAGTGGCCTCAATGGCCAGAACCGAGCTGATCCAAAGTCAGGAGCCATGAGCTTCTTCCTGGTCTCCCACATGGGTGCAGGGTCCCAAGGCTTTGGGCCGTCCTCCACTGCTTTAAGTCCACAGATGCCTTAAGCAGTGACCTGGTTGCTAAGCTAGGGGCCGCCTCCTGTGGTGCTGACATCCCATGTGGGCGCTGGTTCAAGTCCTGGCTGCTCCGCTTCCAATCCAGCAGTTCCCTGCTAATGTGCCTGGGAAGGCAGTGGAAGATGAACTGAATCCTTGAGCCTCTGCATCTATACGGGAGACCTGGACAAAGCTCCTGGCTCCTGGCTTCAGGCTGGCCCAGTTCCGGCCATTGTGGCCTTTTGGGGAGTGAACCAACAGATGGAAGATCTGTCCCTTACCTCTGCCATCTGCCTTTCACATAAACATAAGTAAATCATTAAAAAAAAAAAAAAAGCTGCTAGGCTAAATGACTTGCCCCTCATGAATTTCTTCAGACTCTAAATGGATGGATTTCAAAGAATTTTTTACCCAAAATAAAAACCACTTAAATCTGTTTTGCATGAACTTTTTGAAATATATTTAGGGCAAACAACTTAGAGAATTTGTATTATTTTCTATATTGAAATTTGTTGTTTAACTTACCTACTTTTATTTATTATCTAAAAGAGAAACAGAGAGCTCTTCATTTGCTGTTTCCCTCCTCAAATGCCTGCAAGAGGCAGGGCCGGGCCAGTCCGGGGGAGAGGGGAGGAAGGCCGGGGCTTGGCAGCTCATCCCCGGAATCTTACACACGAGCAAATGGAGCCTCAATAAAGTTACCCAGCTGACTTTCACCCGCTTTATGTTAAATCGTGATATTGAGAGGGAAAGCT